CACTCCTCTTAACCACTCTTCCTCTTTTCTCAGGTCATTTCAGATGATCCGTTTTGGGTACCCACCACCGAGGAGGAGTATTTGCACTTTGGGGAGAAAGCCGATTCCGAGAATCAGGCTCGCAAGTACATGAATGCTGTGAGGAAGCGGAAGGGATTGTATGTAGAAGAGAAAATTGTGGAACACGCTGAGAAGCAGAGGACTCTCAGTAGAAACAAATAACTTCTTGGCTTTCCCTTTTTTTCCTTAAAAACAGGCCAATTCTCTCCTGTCCAGAGGTTCGGAAAAGTCACCTTGGAGGTGCTGAGCTCCATGGCTTTCCTAACCCTCGGTTGTCTGTGGCTCGAGTTTGAATAAACCGGAGCTTTCTATTTTCCTTCTGGTGGACTTCCAAACTTTCTGCCTTCTGGAAACACTTTTCACGTCAACTCAGCCGGCCAAGGAATGTCTGCAGAAACTGCCACAGAATCCCCACATAAGTCTGGGGTGGTAGGTCTGCCCTCTTTTGTCAAATTAAATCAAGTCAAAACAGTAACCGATGGGAAAAAAAGTACCCTTGATCCATCAGCAGCGTTTTAGAAATAAGATTGCAACTAAAGTGGTTTTTATCTTTTTTTAAAGGCAGTTGTTAGTCAATACCATTTGAACAGTCACTTTTGGGACACCTCTCCTACCATGAGGCCTGCACTATTTGTGCAGTCTAAAAAACAAAATACGTTTTTGATGAGAATTATTTCATTGCACATACAGATGTATTTATTTAACAGAATAACAGAGTGGGAAGGGGGCCTTGGAGGTCTTCTAGTCCAATTCCCGCTTGTTCTGACCAAGGCTTCCGAGACCGTAATTACGCACATGCTTATTTTAAAAACAAGTCTTGTTTTATTGCAACACTGGGAATTATTTTCATTCCCAGCCAGTAATGAATCTCAAACAGTCCCTCGAGATAAGCACCCAGCTTTCTTTCCTGTGAAGTGCTGCCAATAACAGAAGTGTCAGATAAACTAGAAGAAAAACCAACCGAAGTACAGAGAGCTTCAAGAATGAGTCTGAACCGAACGAATGACTTTGCTTCCTGCAAAGGTTTCATCATCTTGGCCTGTCCTTTATACCTTATGGGAGGAGGGCCAATCATCTCCCAGCCTTACTCCTGAGTCACCCCTTTTGTTTCAGCTACTCTCACCTTCTAGCAGCTCTGTGCGCACACACGCACTGGGAACAGGCTCCCCTGGGTCCTCTGCTTCGCTGCTGTCAGACTCTGAAGGCCGCACCCCACTCCCAGATGGTTCTGGCCCCATCCCTGCATCGGACGGAGGACCCTCGTCCGAGTCCTCTCCAGACTCCCGGACTGATCCCCTTTCTCCCCCACTGTCCGATTCCACTGCCGTCTACACAGGCTGCCAGCAAACCACAACACCACTCAAGCGGGAGACCCTACACCGTTCTGGGCAAATGGCTGTCGGTTCTCTTCTTAAAGACCTCCAGTGATGGAGAACCCACAACTTCTTAAGAAAAAGCCATTCCTCTGATTGATTGTTCTCACCGTCAGTGAATTTCTCCTTCGTTCTAGGTTGGTTCTCTTCTGGATTGATGTCCTTCCGTTGCTCCTTGTTCTGCCTTCAGGTGTTTTGGAGAATAAATAGACCCCCTCATCTTTGTGATAGCCCCTTAGATATTGAAACACTGCTTCATGGGGGTTTTCTTTTGTTTGTATTTATGCGTAATGGAGGTATTTTTATCCCATCCTTCTGATTCAGACACCACTCACCCCGGCTAGTTGATTTCAAACAGCATGAAATTAACAGCTTTTTAAAAAAAGAACAAAATAACATTTTTAAAAATACAGAAAGTTTCAACAGGAATGAAAATAAAGAGAGGGCAGATAAATATATCCAAGGATAACGTACGTTCCCGTTATTACTCAATTAGATAACATCATCAGTGTACATGAAACCTCTACAAGAAAACAACGAGCACCAAAGATCTTTCGTTTTGAACCCGCTCCGGCAGATATTCTGCTTTATCAGTAATTTGAAGAGTTGAAGCCCCAACACTTTTGGAAGGCACTGGTCAGAAAGTGATTTCCTTCCTCGCGAAGAGACGGCTTGTGCTAATTGTGCGATTGCCACCATATTCTTTAAATGACACCAAGTGACACCAACCCTGTTAAGTTGATCCCCTGAACCCTGTATTGGAAATGCAAATCCAGTTGTCTTGGCTGGGTTCTCATTTAAGGAAGTGGCTCGGTTTTTCAAAACGCCCCAGCCTGGGAAGGAATTCTCAGATAGTCAAGCTTTTGTAACGACTCTTCCCATGCAACAAACTCAGCCTTGAATCAACCCAGCTTCTTCTGCTTTCTATTTTTAAAATCACTTTTCATTAGTCGGATACAACACCTTCTATGCATGTGGCATTTCTCAAGGAGCTGATTTGGCAGGTGCCTCTCCCTAGAGACTTCCAAGCTAAAATAGCACAGGGAAAATAACAGTAGAAAGGTAGGAGGGAGGTTGGAAATTGAGAACAACGTACAGCTATTTCGGTTACCTGTATTTTGATTTCGTTACTTCTCGATCGGCACACACGAAGGGGAACGGCTCAGTTTTCTGTTGTATTTTTGCCAAAGAACATCTATAATGAACAGTGTCCTTGATTAACCCTTCTTTAGATGTGGATTGGATTCCAGGGACCACATCACAAAGGGTTACGTTACAAAGAATTCCGACTTTTGAATATTCTTTCCTTTTTACAGATTTACATCTTGGCTTCCGGGGATTAGCCTTTGTATTTTAAGGCATAGGACAGTGGTGGCTAAACTTTTTGGGCTCCTGTGCCAAAAATTATGCGCGCGCCAGTACCCAGAATGCCATGTGAGTCCCCTTCCCCACTCCCCCTGTGCATGCGTGTGCAATCCCCCCACCACCAGCCCCTTACCTGCACTGCGCCTCACAGCTGATTTTTTTGGTTTGACAGGAAGTGACGAAACGGGCCTATAATTCGGCCTGAAAAGCCTTGCAGATGCTTTTTCCAAGCCTCCGGGAGGCCGAAAAAGGCCTCAAACCAACCCAAAAAAATCAGCTGTGAGGTGCGCGCATGCACAGTGACGTAAGTTTGCCTGCGGCTTGCATGCCAGCACAAATGGCTCTTCGTGCCACTTATGGCCATCACAGGCATAGGACCTGCATCACAAGAACTCGAAACTGAAATTTGTGAAAACGTAGTGGAAACTGATATTCTCAGGAAACCTGGCAAAAATCACATTCAGTTTTCTTTCTGCAGAATCATAGCATGCCTATGTCACAGTGCAGGTAGTCCTTGACTTACAACCATTCATTTCGTGACCGAAGTTACAACGGCACCAGGGAAAAAAGTGACTTATGACCGTTTTTCACACTGATGACCGTTGCTCATGCACACACACACACAATGGTGATCAAAATTCAGCCATTTGGCAACTGGCATGTATTTTTTAATGTTGGCTGCAGTGTCCTGGGGCTCAAGGGATCCCCTTTTGCGACCTTCTGACAAGCAAAGTCAATGGGGAAGCCAGATTCACTTAACAGCGGTGCTACTAGTGCACAACTGCATTGATTCACTTAACAACCATGGCAAGAAAGATCATAAAATGGGGCAGAACTCACTTAACAACTGTCTCACTTAGCAACAGAAATTTGGGGCTCAATTGTGGTCATAAGTTGAGGACTACCTATAGTTAATAAGCTTAGGTGGGTTGCATTGGGGTCCAAAGCAGAGGTGGGTATTCAGCAGGTTCTGACCAGTTTTGGACAACCGGTAGCGGAAATCTTGAGTAGTTCAGAGAACCGGCAAATCCCACCTCTGACTGGGATTGGGGCATCGATTGCAGTCACTGTTTTGATTTGGTTTTTAGTCCATTTCTCTGCAGGCACCCCGGAAGAGACAGGATCGTCTCTATCCAAAATCAGTATCTTTGATTTTTTTTCTTCTTCTCCTCCCTTATAAAACTATGACTGTGTTTATGAAATTATTCAGGTAAGCCCAAAGAAGACCAGGCTAGAGGAATCATGAAAAGTTTTAATGGCAAAACATTATCACCATTATCTGACCCCGAACTGCTGCCTTTATTTGCTCAATTTAACGCTTGATTAAAATGTTCGCCAGCAGCTGAAATAGAAGAAGAAAACTGTGTGCTTTTCACCCCCTTTATTTTCAAAATAGGAGCCACACAGCAGGATTTTAAATTGTCGTGAGCTTTTAAAGAGTTCCACAGCTCCCATTTGCTGGGCAGCCAATTTGAGGGCCGAGTTGATCTTGTAATAAACTGGAAGGGGGGGGTGAAATTGCCCACGGAAACTGGATTACTCCAAAGGAAAAGTTCTGTTCTCTCGTTCGCTTACCGGAAAACATATCCTCTTCTAGATCCTCTTCTAGAAAGGTATTTTCATAAATCTGTGACTCTGCCTCACTAAATTATACAGTTTTTCTTGAATAGCATATATTATGGTCCCTACATGAGAAGCAGTGGTGGGATTCAATTTTTTTTTTACTACAGGTTCTGTGGCCATGGCTTGGTGGGCATAGCATGGTTTGTTGTGTGTGGCAGGGGAAGGTTAGTGCAAAATCCCCATTCCCATCCCACTAACCTACTTTCCAGCTCCGTTCTCCTGTGCAGGGCAACCAAAGAAGACCCAGCCAATCAGCTGGTACTCAGGAGGCGGAGAATAGATGGGGTTGGCGGGGTCAGTCAGAGGTGGGATTTTCCAGTTCTGTGAACTACTCAAAATTTCCGCTACCGGTTCTCCAGAACTGGTCAGAACCTGCTGAATACCCACCTCTGATGAGAAGCCTTCATTTACTGTGTAATTCAGTTCTGGTTTCCTTAAAAGCAGGTGAATCCATTTCTGGACCCTCCCACTTGCAGGTTGGTTTTAGCAGAATTGAACGTACAGGAATATCACTGACAGGTAGTCCCTGACTTGCAACCACACATTTCCATTGGTAAGCAAGATTTAAGTGAGTTTTGCCCCATTTTACGAACTTTTTTGCCACGGTTGTAAGTCGAGGACGTCCTGTAAAAAAGGGGCCATGCAATGCATCAGAAAGATGCTGGAGTTTCAGCCGCTTGCAGGAAAAAGGATGGAGCTGCTGTAAGGATTTGCAAGCAGATGCTTTATATCCTCTGAAGCATCTTGAAGAAATTTAATGTGCACAGCCTTGGAGTCTCTTTAGATGCTGCTAAAACTGTTGATGGCCACACTAAACATGGCACTTTCATTCTCTGCAAGCTGCAAAACTGTTTCCCTTTAAATTAATTGGGAAATAATTTTAATGTTTAAATGTTTTTAAAGAAATATGGAACAAGACACATTAGGGTAACAAGACAGTCTATGCCTCTGGGCATTAGAAACCCACTTTGTTTACTTTTGGATGCGTATAAAATTCTAGATTTTAAAAACAGAATCCATGGAATGTTAATGGATTTGTTTTTATTGATAATGACTGAAGCTGAAGCACCTAAAATCATTGGGAGTATTACTTTTGGCTTTTTCCTTTCCCTATTTTTTTTTCCTGAAACAGTTTTATATCTTCCCTGCTAGCTTTAAACACTCTTGTCATTTGACATCTTCTATGTCTGACTCAGAAGGTGACTCACCTTTGCTGCCCTTGATAAGTAAAGCTCAACTGGAGTCCAAATTCCTCCGAAAATACATAGCTGAAACTTCTATGACAGGGGAGCTAAGCTCTTCAAGGCTAAATTTTCTTCTTTCTCACCCTTCAGTTGTGAACAGTTAATCCCCATTCCATGCACTTTTAAGGTACCTGATTTATATCCCGTTTGTTTCTCATCATTAAAAAAAAAAAAAAGTCAATTTATGTAGTCTCGCTCTGTAAAACATTTACCTGTAAGACCTTCTAACTGAAAAACAATAAGAGGCAAAACAACACAGATTGTCTATGGAGATTCTCAGTCATCCATCAGATCATGGTTGTCCCCAAGATACTTTTTCAAAAGGCCACTTGTTTTTCCTTGAAGACATTTCACTTCTCATCCAAGAGGCTTCTTCAGTTCTTCAGTTCAGCTTCTTCAGAACTGAAGGAGCTTCTTGGATGAGAAGCAAAACGAGAATGGAGCCTCCTTCAACTCAGTTTATCTCCTAAAGGCACTTTGTTTCATCATTGTAGGCAGGAAGGAAGAGGATCTTGATAGCAATATGCAAGAACCACAACCTAAACAAAAGCCTGGAATGTGTTTTAAGACCAGAACAAGGAGATAACACTTGGAAGCAGAGAGATGTCTCCCTCATTCACTGGAGTATAGATGGTACCCAAGTTTGGTAACGAAGTCCACCCACTAAGCTGTATCTTGTATTGGCCATAAAGCAGGCGAACTACAACTCTTAAATAAACCAACAGCTTGCCATGGGTACAGTTTTGCCAAAAGCTGGAAGTAAATGCTGGATTTTTTTTATTTTTTTTTGCAAAACCATCATAAAACATGGCCATGTGAGGGTGGGGTTAGATAATAAATGTGCCCTGGTTGCTAAGCGCCCAAAGTACAGTCATGTGACTTTGGAGGGGGAGGCAATCTCTGGAGCTTTGAGCCCAGGTTGTAAGTAGCCCTTAGGTAGGTCCATCAGAACTTTGAATGGTTGCTAAGGGACCAGGCATAAATCAAAGACTACCTGTATAAAAGGGAGATCCAGCACAATCGGACCCATAAGATTCTGTTTTTTAGCCATTTTCAAGAAAAGTACTTTTAGCCTTCCCTGTGGAATAGATCTCGTGGTTAGGTCTACCTAAAAAGGCTGACATATAATCTAGTATTACTTAGTAAAATTTAGCTGCCACAATTCTAATACATGTTGTTAGTTGCGATGTCATGTCTGACCCATTACGACCCCATGGACAACGTTCCTCTAGGCCTTCCTGTCCTCTACCATCTTCTGGAGTCCATTTAAGTTCACGCCGACTGCTTCAGTGACTCCGTCCAGCCACCTCCTTCTCTGCCATCCTCTATTGCCCTCAATCTTTCCCAACATTAAGCTCTTCTCCAGTGAGTCCTTCCTTCTCATGAGGTGGCCAAAGTATTTGAGTTTCATCTTCAGGGTCTGGCCTTCTAAGAAGCAGTCAGGGTTGATCTCCTCTAGGACTGACCAGTTTGGTCGCCTTGCAGCCCAAGGGACTTGGAGGAGTCTTCTCCAGCACCAGAGTTCAAAGGCCTCAGTTCTTTGGAATCAGCCTTCCTTATAGTCCAACTCACATATTTTTCTAACATGTATGTTTCTAAAATATAGAAACAGATAAATCTATTTAAACAGGTTTTAGAGATCATTCTTCCTTGTGGGCCCTGATCAAGCCTTTTGGTGGGTGAGATAGGTATGTAGGTAAGTAGATAGATAAAGAAAGAGAAAGGAAGGAAGGAAGAGAAAAAAAGAAAAAGAAAGAATATTGCATACTTCAGGCAATGAGCAATTATCCACAAATGCTGGGATTATAAAGAAGTGTCCTTGAAGGCAGGCAATCCTTTTGTGAAAGGTTCCAAATGCAACAGGAAATATCCACCTAGTCCTAAAACAGTGAAACATTTGCCTTCCCAGTGCTTAGGAAATGGATTGGAATCTTTTATTTTTCCAAGTTAATTATTTATTATAAGACGCGAGTAAATACATTATGCAATAACATATTTGCTGGGTGCAATGGTATTTGTACAATCCAAACTTTGGATAACCTAAACCTTAAAGGCATAAAGAAAAAACAAAAGTTCGTATCAATATTAACTATATTTTTAAACAATGTCATGATGAACCTCAAGTTGTTTTAATGCTAGGCATGGCCTTGATACAATCACACAATTGCAAAGTACTTGAAATTATTTCATAATGTAAGGTAAGAAAGGTTTCTATCTTCAGCTCAGTTCTAAGGTCTGAGCTGAATTGTTCTTTACCGTTGTTTTTAAAATGTAAAAAAGGAACAAAAGGAAAAGGAAAAAAAATAATGGAAAAAATAAAAGAGGCTGCTTGGAAGTGTAAATAGATATTTGATTTTTAACTTTCCCCTTCTTTATGCAGTACTCTGACCCGTAGGCAGTAATTTTAAAGATTACTGTGTTTGTATTCGCCTCGCTGTGTGGTGTCTAGATAGAGGCTATTTGTGCTAGGAAATGGATTGGGATTTTGAAGTTCTGCAATCATTTTGGGACTGGAATCCTGAACCCTTTTTCCAGATTGTTCCCACTTTTACTCTCTCAAACAACCTTTCTGATATTTGCCCATTCTTTCTGAGTAGTGTGCTTTTCCTGCCTTTCAGAATGAATTTTAAAAAAAAATGTTTGTAGGACTGAAACGAAGGAAGATACCCCAGGCTGCGGGTTTCAGCCAAACATGATGTCATCCGTCTTGCTATTCCTTTTGCTAAATTGCCGTCTGCAGCCTCTCCTGCTTATGGAAATAAAATAAGGATTTTTAATGAAGGGAGGGCCAGGGTCCAATACTTTAATTGCCTATCAAACCTTGTGGGAAAAGTGCTTTTTTCTTTGCCCTCCTTCCTCTCTTTAAAGATTTTCACGTGAAGACAACGTGGTTGCAGGAAGTAATCTTGACATCTGGATTTGCTCTAATGGGTCCCAAAGTAATTGCTTGCTGGCATTTCCTGGTCAAAAAGCACTTGGCGCAGTTCCTGCATAAGGAAAAATTCTTCTCCAGGGTGAAATTAGTCTTCACGTGAGCTTCCACTCAACTGGCTTCTCGGTGCGGGTAAGAAACAAATTCTACATAGGAGAACAAACCCAGGAGGTATTTTAAAGCTAAGGCTTGGTTACATGATGCAATCTTTCCCGTCCCTTACCCCAAGGACTTTAAAACTACAGTCTTCATGGCAATCTTTTAGCCAGATGTCTGGCAATGCACATAGTCCTCGACTTAACGACCACAACAGAACACAAAATTTGCTCCTTCTAAGTGAGACTTTGGTTTAGTGACCTTTCCCCCCCTTTTTAAGACCTTCTGTGCCACAGTTGTTAAGTTAAGCTAGACACAGAGTGGTTAAGTGAATCTAGCTTCCCCATTGATGTGGCTTATCAAAAGGTCACAAAACTTGATCACATGACCCCCGGAACATTTCAACCACCGTAAATATGAGTCGGTTGCCAAGCATCTGAATTTTGATTAGGTGACCATGGGGGTCCTCATTTTACCAACCTTGAAAGAATGGAAGGCTGAGTCAACCTTGAGCCAGTCAGGACTGAACTGCTGGCAGTCGGCAGAGTTAACTTGCAATACTGCATTTTAACTATTGTGCCACCATGGCTCACAACCATGATAGGATTAGTGTTCACAGGAATGGTATAATTTTATGGCAACCTTCCTTGGTCTGATTCTCTCTATATGGGCTGGATGTGGGTTTCTGTCATGCCATTGGCTGTCACTAACTGCGTTGGCTTGGGGATGATGGGTGTGGCAGTCCAAGACATCTGAAGGGAACCAGCACAGGGAAGGCAGTTTAATTCGGAAGAAAAGTCTGTTCCTTGGCGTGGCTTGAATGCCAACGTTTCCCCTCCAGTAAGGAAAACCTCTTCTGAAAAGTGAACACATTGCTTGAATCTCCGCATCAAATATTCATGTGGGAAAGCACTCAGCTTGCACCCTGAACTAATAAATCATAGTGATCCTTTGCAATTTTGGCTCGCTGAGTTGCCTACACTCAGGCACTCTGGTCAGGCAATAATATTGAACCACATAAAGTAAAATGTTTGGGGCCACCTTTGACATTAAAGAAATCCACGGTATCCCTTTGAATGCAGCGTGTGCAACTCAGCTAATGTTGATTCAAGCATCTGCCTTAAGAGTGAAACTGCCTCCAAATTCCTTGGGCCTGATTTGTCGGTCTTTCATAATATTTTTTTTCTGTAGCCAGCAGCAGGTCAACTCCTAGCCTTTTGTACACACATTGCTTTTGCAAATCCACAAGCTGCCTTTTTTTCATGTATGTATGTAAAATACATTTCAGTCATTAGGAAGTGCAATCCTATTAAACCCACAGAGGGAGAATCTATCACCCGTGAACTGCACCTCTAAAAGTGAAATGGCAGAGGAGCTGATTATTATTTAGAATCAAATAGAATAATAGAGTTGGAAGGGACCTTGGAGGTCTTCTAGTCCAACCCCTTGCCTAGGCAAGAAACCCTACACCACTTCAGACAAATGGTTATCCAACGTCTTTTTAAAAAAAACTTCCAATGTTGGAGCATTTACAACCTCTGGAGTCAAGCTGTTCCACTGATTAATTGTTCTAACTGTCAGGAAATTTCTTCGTAGTTCTAAGTTGCTTCTCTCCTTGATTAGTTTCTGCCCACTGCTTCTTGTCTCAGGTGCTTTGGAGAATAGCTGGACTCCCTCTTCTTTGGGGCAGCCCCTGAGATATTGGAACACTGCTATCATGTCTCCCCTGGTCCTTCTCTTCATTAGACTAGCCAGGCCCAGTTCCTGCAACCGTTCTTCATATGTTTTAGCCTCCAGTCCCCTAATCATCTTTGTTGCTCTTCTCTGCACACTTTCTAGAATCTCAGCATCTTTTTTACACCGTGGAGACCAAAATTATGATTTTTTAAATGATAGTTAAGGACAATTTTCTGAGAATAAAGGTCCTTCTTTCAATACAGAAAACAAGTTCAACAAGATCCTTTGGCCCTCTAGAACTCCTTCCTTGGAATATACCTTTGATGCTGCAGTTAAATCAGTTGAACCTCTGGTAAAAAATAAAATTGATGCCCAAAGTCCTCTGGATTATGTTCACTCTCTTGAGGGACTTATTTGAGATGTCTTCATTGTTGGAAATTTGCTAGAAGGCCACCAGATTCATCAATGGCTTTGGATGTACCAGAAAGAATTCATATGGAAAAACCCCCAAAGTTTTTTTTAAGAAGGGATAAGAGAACTTACTTTTTCACACACACAAAATCCCTCTACTTCT